TCAATGGCTGTAACCAACAATTTTTTCAATATCGAAATTTCAGTGAAAAAACCGAGGAAAAAACGTTATATGAAAATTACAGCCTTATTTCACTGAAATCTCCATTTTGAAACAAATGTCGCTTACAAGGTTTTTCGGGGAAACCATTCAATAATTACAGTGTCCGTCATAAAGTTGGATCCATACCTAAGGATGTTTTTTTTTGGTTTTAGAGATTAGAGTTTAAAAAAACTTTTTGTGGAAATCAATTCTGCTTTAAAAACAACTTAAAATGCACCAAAGTCAAAGTTGAAACATAATTTTGTTTGTCACCCTTTTTAAAATAATAATAATTTAACCAATTTTTAAAAATTTCTTTTAAATATTTTGTATTTTTTGACATCTGGGATGTTAGCTGTCAACTTTGACGTGCATTTTAAGTACTTTTCAAAGCAGAAGTGATTGCCACAAAAAGATTTTTTAAAACTCAAATATAAAAAAAACGTCCATATTGATCCAACTTTATGGTGGACACTGTATATAATGTTTATTATATTTAATTTAAATTTAATTATATTTTCACTGGAATGCAAAATAATGTGTTTATCGAAAACTGGTTGTATCTCTTTTTACTTAATGCGTTTTAGCCCAAACTAAAAGGAAAATATTATAGGTATATGAGTGTATAAATAATAACAAAAAAAAATGTTGACAAAATGGTGAATACACCACAAATTTTTCAAATAATACTTTAAAAAATGTTGACAAAATGGTGAATACGCCAAAAAAATATTACTATTGTGATAAATCATAATATTACTACCATTCTGAATAAAATCTTTTCTTACAAATTCTTTATGTTCTTCGCAAGAAAACCAATGAAACCAATTCAAATTATTTTTTTTTTCAAAATACAAACACATTTTTTTATATATAGCGGAGTGCCCGGAGACTTTTACCTCGGAATTCTATAACTGTGAATGTATTAATGTGAAACCTTTTGTATTGTGTTTTAGAGATAAAATACTAAAATGTTTACCCATTTTTTTTCGTTGCTTTTAATTTTTTGTTTTAGTAACTTTAGTAAATTCTTAATTATTTTCTTCTTAAATTATTTTTCTTTTAATTTTTTTTCTAATCATATTTATTGAAATAAATAAAACTAATGCATAAGCTATACCTATTCTGCTTATATTCTAATCATTGAAATTTTGATTCAAATAAAACTATACAGGGTGGCGCCTTATATACGAGGCGGTTTCTGCAAGGAGAACAACAGTTTATATTGAAGTAAAATTTTGTGAGCTTATGTAAGTTAATTTGAAGCATTTTCTAAAATTATATAGAGTTCTACAGGGTGTCCCCAAAAAAAGTTACACATCAAAGTTGTGTTTTTTGTAACGGAACATCCTATATATTAATTGATTTTCGAATTCTAGGAAAAAAATAAAGGTGAGTTTCATTAGAAAAGTATATGGCTAAAATGTAAGGTTTTTGAAATATTTAGCATTTTCTAAATAATATGAAGAATAAATTTTAAATTTTAATTCTTTATCCTTCAAAATTTCCTTAATATCAATAATTTGAGGTCTGGAAAACTACTGGCTACCGTGTCGGATAACGGATCCAACTTCGTGAAAGTTTTTAAAGAATTCGGAATACAACTGGGTATGAATGAAGAATATGAAGATGAAGAAAATGGGGATTTAGAATTTAAAAATATCTCTGAAAACCTGGAAGTAATGGAATCTAATATCACAATCCTATAAACACATCCCTATAAATCTATAACCTATAATCTATAAACATATCCCTATACACATTCGATGTAATTCACACACGTTGAATCTTATTACGACTACCAATATAAAAAATATAATCCAGAAAGATGTTACATTGATCATACAAATATTTTGGCAAAATGCAATGTTCTGTGGACAATGGCAATTTGACCCAAAAGCGCAGAAATTATTAAAGAACCCTTAGTCCACACATGAAATTATCCATGACCAACACGCTGGAATTCTCTGTATGATGCTCTAACATAAATTATTTAAGATAAAAGTCTATTTAATAGTATAAGTATAAATATAATAATAAATATTCGAAAGATGGGTATTAAAAATCAGATGCTCAGAGATGCTGAAATTGCTTCTTTAACTGACTAATGCCGAATCTCGAAACATTTAGCAAATTCAATTTACGAGGTGAAAAAATATCTTGGATATCTTCAGGATATCTTACGAATGTGTTTACAGAGAAGGTGAATTTAGCGATATCAACTCATATGTACGCATAAACTTAATTAATTAACTAAAATAATTAACATAATTATAATAGACACTACTGGTGAATTCTTCGAATTAGACTGTTCCGACTGTACAGAGACGTTTCAAAGTTACAATTAAAAGGAAATTTATACTTCAGATTTTGCAGTACGCAGAGTATCAAAGTATAGACTTGAAATCATTAGATCGGTTTCCTGTTATACCAGAACTATTTTTTAAGATATAGGTAATACCTTTCTACCGTTATCGGCACACGTTGAAAAGCTTTTCAATTTTGCCGAAATAGTAAACGCACCTCGAAGAAATGCGCTTGTCGGGACAACGTTGTGTCACGCGACCAAACGTCGGGGCGCAACGTCGGCACGACCTCGTGCCAACCCTAGTCTGCACTAGTTTGGAGAATAATTTTTGGGTCGAAACGACGTTGGATACCTACGTTGGCTAGCAGCCTAATTTAGCACAAACTGCAACGTTGTTTAAAATCCTAATTCACAGAAATACAAAACTATAATAATATGGCGTCTAAGTCGCGTTTTATCCTAAATTGGGAAAATTATAGTAGAAATATAATTTTTATGATTTTGTTAGAGACATATGCCAGATGGCAGTAAAGGAAAACAAAACAAAAGTATTTAAGTCTGGAGGATGTTTGAAGATCATAATTATTGAAACACTTTAACCAACTCTGTAACTCGTTACCCAAGGCAACAAAGTTAAACGCACACAACTTTATTGATAAATGTATTGTTTCTACTTTGAAAAATACTAATGGGCCTTAAAATTAAAGTTTTGAAAAATTTCTTGAAAATGTTTTTTTTAGTGAAATGAGAATCATTTATTTCCAGTCGAAAAAAAATTATTTCCGCTTTATTTAGGGTCAAATATTTCAAGTTGTATTCAAAAAGCAGGAATTGCTATTTGAGGAACGAAACATTTTCTTATTCAACAACATGGCGGCTTTTACTTTGTTGTTTTGGAGATTAAGGTGGAGTAGTTCGAGTAGTCGCATACTGGACTAATAAAGCCGCAGTTCAGCCTTAACAGGTAGTATACTAGTCGCAAGATTGACTAATTTAGTCATCCTAGAGTCTAGACATGGCCATCAATTGTCAAACGTCAAAGCAAAATTTGCTTGTCCCGCTCTCTATATTCTAAATAAACGAGGGAGTGGATAAAGTATCGGTAATATGTCGATGTATATTTAAATTTATTTTATATGTGTCTTTCTTACGTCCTATTTTAATTAAGTTTTTTTATAAAAACAAAAACAGAACTGAACTGTCTGACAACAGAACAATGAAGTGAAAACTTAAGATTTAAGGTTATGGTTCAGCGTTTAATACAGTTGCAAAAAGGTAGTGGAACGACGTCCTACCAACGTAAGAATAAGGATATCTAAACAACGTTGGAATTAGTAAAACAGACGACGTTTGCATAACATTGGAATAGGTCTTGAAAGTGACGTCGGAAAACTCTCTATTGCCCAAAATTGTAACTACGTTGTCCGAATCACCTAAAGATCACTTAAGCAAAAAAGGTTACAAGACAACGTTTATTCGACGTCGCAGAAACTTTTACTTTGCTGTAGTACTAGTTCAACGTCGGCACAACGTTATAAAAACGTTTAAATTTATTTTAATATCCAAGGTACGGAGCGAACTATTTTTTATAACTAATCCAACGTTGTGTTTAGTAAACATATGTGGTCGCAAGTCGTGAAAATGCTACTTGGGCTTATTTGTAACTACATTTAAGTTAATATACCTACTTGTTACAATTATTTTTATTGTTTTTCTGCAGTTCATATAATTTTTATTTTTACTTCGAATCCGTTAATTATTTTATAACTCCATGGAAATAAACATAAACATGTGATATTTGAAGTACTTTCCTTGAACAAAACCAAGTGTATTACTGAAGTATTTAAATCTTAAAATACTTTTTAAATTAAAATTACTTGGAAATTGGATTTGACTAATATAATTTCCGTAACTGATATTTGATACTTGAAATACTTTTTTCCAGTATTTGTGACGGCTCTGCCCTGTATCGTGAAATGGAGCATCCCAAAAAATATAATAAATGGAAGAAATCAGAACTATCCCAAAACTTTCCTCCAAAACGGGTTTTGAGTACAATGCTATACTATATGATGTGGTCCGGCGGCCGCGGCGGTCGGTAGCACTGCAGGCGATGTGGGGGGAAGAAGTCGCTCATCACTGAGTGACAAACTGGGTTTGACTAGTTGTAAATATTTTGAAAAATTTCAAGTCTGTATATTTTTAATACTTCTCACAAAGACGTATCAAATCAAATTCAGCGCTTTCCTCTTTGATTTTTTGATATATTTGATTTTTGTAGTTTGCCGGCCATTACTGTTGTTGCATGCCTTATGTAAAATTATTTTTTTTGTTATTGGGTAGCGCTAAAAAAATTCCGGTTAAACTTTTTTTTCAATTACTCAATAATAAAAAAATATTACACCCTGTCCAATTTGCAGATTCATAACAATAAATGTGTATAAACTGCAATTGTTATGGAATCTTAGTTATTGACCTATAAGCATAACTATTTTTGAGATCTGATTTAATTTAATTATCACTAACAATGATTCTTTTTCATGTGTTTTACAAGTGTTGGAGAATTTAAGCAGTGAAATAGTAAACAGTTTTTTTGGGTAATCCTTAAGAATTGTACAAGTGACTTTTGAGATAAAGTTTAGTATTTAAGGTGAAATTTTTAATGAGATATTTATTAAGTATTTTTATTATTATAGGTGATTTGGCACTAAACATATTCCAGATATGAAAGTTTTATGCGTGATTTTAGCTGTGGCTGCATTCGGTAAGTATTATAATGTTTTTTTTATTTAAATTTCAATTTATCCCTATATAGTTAAATATTTTATTAAATAATTAATGGCTTAAGAAAATAAATTATTTAAATGTTACTGTTATGCCGCGTCCAAGCTGGGCGCTCCGCGCCGAATAGAACACTTGCATATATATATATATATATATATATATATATATATATATATATATATATATATATATATATATATATATATATATATATATATTTTTGTTTTCACTCTTGGCTTTAGGTCGTTGGGGTTGCAAAGATGTTTCTAGATTTTGTTCATTATTTTTTTATTTTGTGACGACGTTTCGACAGTATATGTCTTTTTCAAGCCTCTTGAACGTAGATTCTTTCAGAGTTAAAATTTGTTAAACGTGTAATATGTGTTATTGTGTTGTCCAGTTTAGTCCAGTCTATATATATATATATATATATATATATATATATATATATATATATATATATATATATATATATAATAAAACGACATCCCCTCTATTCTTTTTTCTCTGAAATTCCTTTTTGGTCATGTATATTGTATATTTAATCACAACAATTCAATTTACAACAATTTGCATAGACTTGAACACTAAGTATTAAAGATTAAGTGTATATACTAGGCATTATAAATAAAATATTTAAAGTCCACTAACCCTACAATAAAAAAACTCAAAAAAGGTCAAAATTGTATTTTTTGTATTTCTAATAAAATGGCAACTGATAAGAGTTCCCGCATCTAAAGATGCTCCAACCACGTGATGATACCAAATATCTCTATAAATCCGCGTAGCCAATTTCGAACTAATTTTATTTGACAAAAAATCGAAAATGAAAACTTTTGAAGGAGGATCACTTTTGTCTCCAGTCAGCTTATGGAGAGAGTGAGTCCCCCCTATTCCCCGTACGTAAAAGTCCTTTACACCTCCAAAAAAATATTACGAAAACAATAAACACTATTTAAGTTTAAAAATCAAATCATGTGGGTACAAATTGCTTAAAAAATCACCAAATTCGACCCACTAGAAGAAAATATATTGCTTTTAAAATATATGAAGTTTTTTAGTAATCCGTTTTTCGTGCTGGTCAGTGTAGATGATACAAATATAGTTAAATATACAGAATTAGTTAAGGTTACAGAATATACTAAGAAAAATTAATAATACTGAAAAAATCAATACCGAATAAACATTTTTTTATTCGCAGTGTCTCTCACTTTGATCAATTTATAATATAAATATTAAAATCCTATTATATATTCTATTCCAGCACGCGCCACAGATATCCATTTGCAAAAAGTTGTCGGAGGAATCAGTGGAGAAGCTAACACCACGAGATACTGGGATTGTTGTAAACCGTCTTGTTCTTGGGCTGAAAATGTAAATGCTCAGTCTCCAGTTGCATCATGTGCTGTTGATGGAGTTACAGTTCTCGACCCTTCCTCGGGGTCCGGCTGTGCTGAAGGTAAGTAAAATTATCCATCATCAAAAGTAGCCCATCGAAAAATCACAAACGCTTTGTAAATTTAAATTGTCAAATATACCTCTTTTAAATACTTCTTCCCGGAATACTTTTAGTGTACAGTACTTTGTGAGCTGATATTGGGAACAAAAGTTCCCTGAAACAAACCTTTTCTCACAAATTCAATACACCTATTATAACTGTGTTTTGAGTCTTCGATTTCGACGCCATAGTTTGCAGGATATTTTACATTAGTTATACAGGGCGATTCTTTATGAGGACCGGGGATAGGATTTTTTTTAAATTGGATTTTTGCATAAAAACCTCCTATTTTCAGAATTACAGAAAAAAAAACAATTTCTTTGTTACTTTAAATGGAACACCCGGTATATTACTACATTTTTCGAAACTACTTTCATATCTCATAATTTTACTATTAAACTAACCTATAAAAATCTCTAATAGTTTTAGTGATAAAAAAAACATACTTATAATCGACAAAAATATTTTACTGAATAATCATTGGTTAAATCATAAATTCGGCTGTAAGCTGAAATTTGGTTTATAGTAAGTTAAGGAAAGTAGATTTGAATTTAAAATAATAAAAATTTGAACAATCTTACCAACGGAAATATTCTTTTTTGCCAAACCCATTTCCTCTCTTCCTACCACCTTTACTGGTCCCGTCCGTGGACATCTACGCGAGTAAGTGCTGGTATTACTTTCTTCATTTAATTTTTTTCCCTCGTTACTTTTGCTTCTCTTCTTTCTCATTCTTTTCTTTCTCCGACATTATACCTTTAATGTAGTCATTAATGTGATTCCAGTTCTCTTTGGTTTTAAGCATAAGGTTTACCATATTTCCCACAGTAATGCAATCACCTATTTCATCACAAAGTGCTTTTCTTTCCTCCTTCCAGTTATTGCAGAAAAAGATTGTGTGTTCTGCATCATCAACGGGATATTTGCAAAAAACACATGACGCAGATGTCCTTTTCCCTATCCAATGTAGGTACGCAGAGAAGCATCCATGTCCCGTCAAGGCCTGAGTCAGATAGTAGTTTGCTTCTCCCCATGCCCTGCCAAACCATTTGTCACATTTCGGGATTAGCCTCCTGATCCATTTACTTTCCATTCCTGGTGCAAGCCATTCCATTTGCCATTTTACTCTTCTTGTGTAATATTCGATCAGAATATTTAGACAGATTGAAGATACCGACTTTTATTAATTTATATTCCAAATTTCAACTTTTAGGAAGTTATATTCATGATTGTTGCCAATGTTTATTCAAGATCGTGTTTTAGTCAATTTTACACATGTTTTATTTTTTATCTCAAAAAATGTTAGAGATAGGTATGAGTAAATAAAATAGAAAAATTATGAAAGTAGTTTCCAAACATGTAATAATATACCGAGTATTTCATTTAAAATAAGAAAGATGCTACCAGTTTTCAAACGCGGCAACATCGTAATGCTGAAAATATTTTAAAGGGATGGGGCAGGTGCCTTTATGTAAAACCCCAAATTTTCAATAAAAATTCTGTCACCATAAATGTCTTAACGTACCATCACCATGAATCACCCTATATACCAAGGGCGTAGATATGGGGGGGGGGTAGAGGGGGTAATTACCCCCCCCCCAGAGCGACTTAAAAAATTAATAAAGTTTCTATTTTGTTGAGTAAACTATAAAATATTAAGATTCGTCCTTTCTGTGTTTTTTTAATAATGTTTATATTGGTATAAACAATTTAAATTTTATTAAATAATCACCATGTTATCTATTTGCTATAAATTATTTACCAAAATTTTAGCTACTCTGGATTTGTTGTAGTTTATATCTACAAAAAAAAATCAGGCTAGTTCGAATTGCTTCGAGTTTTACCAAAAAAAATGTTGCCTACTGAGTCACTCCTTTACAAAATCTCAAACACCGACGGCGACACCCATGTGTCCTATTTTTTTTTAAATTAAAATCTGACAACCCTTACTCTACCCCCCCCCCACCCCGAAAAATAAAGTATCTACGCCCTTGCTATATACTAATATTTACAAAAACACTGGTCTGCAAAAAACTTTTTTTTCCAGCCCTGTCACCATTCCGGCCGATTCTTGTGTAAAATGTAGGACGTCACCGATAGAAATATATTTCCCGTTTTCTTCTACCAGTAATCATTTTCGGAAAGCCTCCACCTATTTTTATCATTTTTCGATTATAATAATAATTTTATGGGCATGAATTTAATTTGGAGAGGTGAAATGGGGGGGATATTATTTTTGCTTGCCTACCATTTATACCCTGAGGTATAACTCAGTCGTCTCAAAAACCAGCAGTGCTCCCTCAACATGCTTGCGTGAAAATATTTTTTCTAGCTTAGCGATGTTTTGATGGAACCGTTTCACGTGTTCACCCGAGGCTGCTCCTAAGTTTTAAGGGAAGAAATTCGGGTATGCAAAGGAAATTCACAATTCACTTTAAGAGACATGTTACATTTCATGGCCTTGTACGCTAAGCAATTCCTCGACCCATCACTTTTGTGGTTTCAAAAAATTTCTTACACATCTTTTGGAACACAAATTAAGCTCGCTTTTATTTTCGATTTAGATGTTCAATAAAGTTCGAATTTTAGAAAAGCTGCATATTCTAGGGACCCACAAGAACCCCTTTCTTTTTTAGCCTGACTAAGGCGAGCAAACTTAGTATTCAAAAGTTCAAATGCGTCACCTGACTTGTCCGTTGCACCGTCAAGTTGCTGTTGAGTATTGTTAAATGGCAAATGTGACGGTATAATCCTAAAATAAACATATAAACAATAGTCTAAATGTAACGTTACCTTAATTATATAATCTAACATATTTAAATTATCTGTTAAGATCGCGTTAGGCGCGATTTTCTATTTCAACTATAACGTACCTGTTAGGTGTGCCTGTTAGGTGTGCACGAACTTATCCTCAGTATCCGACGGTACATCGACATTTGAAAAGCATTAAGTCGTTTGATGTCTTCTTGTTTTAGCATCAATGTTTCGCATCCATATTGATTCTTTTATTTATTATCATTTTAATGTTCTTAGCCTCGTTGTTATAGCTATTTTAGGATGGCACAACTTCCGCATGTTGAGGAAACCAGCCCTAGCTATTTCAATCCTTCCTCTGATTTCCTCAGAGTGGTGTAGCTGTTTAATTCCCCCTTAATCTGCCAACTCCCTTAAATGGCCAACAATGAACATATTCACACTACCCGTAATGTCGCCGTCGCATAGTGACAACGTCCATCTCCCATTTACTTCATGTTTTATGGGGAGACGGCGCGGCGGCTGAACGTGACGGTGACGGTACGAGATACGAGAATTGCGCCTTAAGATCGCATCTAATGATATTTGCTCTATGTAAATTTAGAAAGTATTTTCCTGAATTATTTTTAATAACCAACTTTAAAGTAAATATATTTATCTCAAAAAGTTATGATAAGACAGATATTTTGATATAACATAATACTTTCTTCGTTTTAATACATTATTCCTTTCAAAATACAGATGGATCAGGAATATCGTATGTATGCACTAACCAACAACCGTGGGCTGTTAACGACACCGTTGCCTTTGGATTTGCCGCGGCATCATTTAGCGGAGGTGCTGATAATAGCCAGTGTTGCGTCTGTCTGCAATTGTCATTTTTGAACGTTCTTCCCAATAAGAAATTGATCGTTCAAGTAACAAACACTGGAGGAGATTTAGAGAGCAATCACTTTGATATTCAGCTTCCGGGAGGTAAGTCATGTAACGTTCTACTACATATTGGGTATAAATAATATCAGTGTAAATGTATAATAATTGGTACAACCAATATACAGGGTGGTCCGACCTGTATTCCGGTAACTTCGGCAGCATATTCTGCAGATAAAAATAAGTAAAAAAGTTCGTATAAATGCGTAGATTCGGAGAATATATAAGCTAAAATGCTTAGTTTCGGAAATACAGGGTGTAGAAATTTTATTTTTATTCCAATTTTTTCCAAATAATTTCTGTAAGTAACGTCAATATTTGGATTAAAATTGGTGTCTGGGAGTTTTTTGACATGAGAAATTTCATTTTGATGTCAATGTGACTCCCATTTGTAGGGGACGCCACCTACATGTGTTTTAACTGTTTTGAAGAGTAATAACTTTTCGTCTGTACCGGTATAATAGCACAGAGTGAAAAAATATACATTTCCGTGACTTTTTACTTAAAAAATGTATCTTGGTAAAAATCGCTACGAGCAATGTTTCTCAAGATATTTGGAATCGAATTTATCAATACCTGTTATCACTGACATAAATTAAACATGTTGACTAAATAGTTATTAGTTAGTTTACTGAAATCATAAATTTGAAATGTTTTGTGGCAAAAGATCAACAGAGACTGTTTTATCATAATTTTTTCGATTAATTTAAAAAAAATAAAAAGTTCCCAAATTTATCATTTCATTTTTATATTATTTTATATTTTTACTAGCGTGTACCAGCGACTTCGTTCGCGTCGAATTAATCATTTGTAATGGCGATGATAAAGCAAAGCAAGAATTTCCATTAACATACAAACTGGATAAAATTTTCTCACAGTTATGTCAGCATGAGAAAACCAATATGGCAATATTATTATATAACTTGGTAATATTTGAGGGGTAGTTTCATCTCGTTGGAATTTGACTTTCGAAAAATCCGTTTGCCAAAAATAAGCTTTTTACGTCAAGCAGTTTAAGCAGAATCGTGGTTAAGAAATTACACAACTTTTTGGAACACCCTGTATGATTTTTTAAAAAATTTGAAAATATGTAAAAAAAAACAAATAAATTATGCTTGTCCAAGCGTTTTCCCGAAAGACTAACCATTTTTTAAATAACAAATATTGTAATATTTGAGGGGCGTTTTCACCCTCTTGGAATTTGAGATTCGAGAAACCCCTCCTTATCGAACCTCTACACCCCACGGTCAATCCGTTTGCCAAAAATCAGCTTTAAACGTCAAGCACTTTAAGCAGAATCGTGATTACTCAATGGTCATATTTTATGAAACACCCTGTATAAATTTATAAAAAATCTTAAAATATGTAAAACAACAAAATAAAATATACGTGTTTAAGGGTTTTTCCGAAAAACTCACCGGTTTTTAAATAAAAAATATTTTCATATTTGAGGGATAGTTTCACCCCCTTAGAAAACGAGTTTCGAAAAATCCCGCCTTATCGAACCTCTACACCCTAAAGCCAATCTGTTTTCCAAAAGTCAGCTTTTTACGTCAAGCGGTTAAGCAGGAGCGTGATTAATCAATGACCAGATTTTTCGAAACACCCTGTACACATTTTTTAAAAATCTTAAAATATGTAAAAAACAAAATAAAATATACGTGTTTAAGCGTTTTTCGGAAACTTGACCGTTTTTTAAATAAAAAATATTCTAATATTTGAGGGGTGGTTTCACCCTCTTGGAACTGGAATTTCGAAAAATCCCTTCTTATCGAACCTCTACACCCTAGAATCAACCTGTATGCCAAAATTGACCTTCTTACCTTGAGTGGTTTGAGCAGGATCGTGATTAATCAGTATGTCAGTTACTTAAGGATTTTATATATACAGGGTGGACCATCGAAAACATTCCGCAAGGCATAACGGCCAGGGTATTTTTTTTTTCAAAAAATCCAAAAACACGTCAATTTTGTTTGTGAGGGGAACTTTTGCCCCAAAAATGATAGCAAAATCGTCAACTCTCTAAGCGGGGGTGTCATCCCCCAACTTTTTTCAAATGAGAAGGGGGTCAAGTGGTGCCGCAATAAAAAGAGCTTTCTATTGTCTATATTTCCCCGCTTCGTTTTTGAAAATCGGTCGAGTCATTGAGAAAATATGAAGGATTGAAATTTGAAAAGTTTAGGAGGGAATCAATGTAGGAGTCATATTGATCTTCAAAACTTCCAGACACCAATTTTCATCCAAATATTGCCGATACTTCAAAAATTATTTGGAAAAAAATTTAAATAGAAATGAAACTACACCCTATATCTCCGAAACTAAGTATTTTAGGACATACATTTATACGAAGTTTCGGGAATAAAGTTCGGACCACCCTGTATTATGTGTTGTTTCTCTACAAGGAAAATATACAGCTGAATATAAATACCTAATTAATACTCTAGAGATAAAATTAACTACCTACATGAAGGTTAAGTGGTACTTCAAAATAATAGGCACTTATACATATTATACATAATATAATATTAAGGAATTGAAAATTGATATTTCAAAGTATATTTTTAGAATACACCCAAAGATTAAATTCTTAGTAAAATTTTTTATCAGAAGTATGATTGTGTCAAATCGGAACATTTCTTTTATCTTTTTTTATTTTTTACAGATTTTAAATTTGTATTTCAGTCAGCATTTTGTATTTCAGTTTTTGTTGTTACTTTGAATGTTGTAGAAAATGATTCAGCATTAAAACTAAAAGAGTTTCGGATTCCATTGTCTTTATTTATTTTGCTTACACAATGTTTCGGTTAAAAGAATCACTGACAGTTATCACGTGTGAATTAAACTAAATCCTAAAACTACTGAGCTCATATACTAGAGACGAGCATTCACTCACAATTTATTGGGTGCAGTCAAGAATGAGGTTTTCCATTAAGAACAGCTGCATTGGAGCGTTTTTATGAGTGGTTGAAATTGTTGAAATACTTAAAGATTGAATACGGCCTCTTTAAATTTGCGCTTTTTCCAAAAGGGGTCTTTGTGGACAACCAGGGCTTCCGACCATTTTATGTTGTGGTGCTTGGACCACACATGATCTGCAATGCCCAACTTCATGCCCATTCACCTTTTTGCGTATATTTTTTATGTTCGTTAATTCGTACCATTGCGATAAAAAAAAGTAGTACAAGAATTAGTAGTCCCAGATCGAATTCCTGGTCTATAAGGATATCTAGAAGTGGATATCGTCACAATCGTCGTCACTATGAAAACAATACAATTATGCCACCTAACTTTTTAGGCGTTACCATGAATTTGGTAATAATTGGTAGGTATACGTGGCGAAATAAAAGTATAAAAAATTTATCTACCTTTTAAAAATGGGCAATTTTTCAAGTTTTAAAAATATTTTATTATAGACCAGCAGATTAAATCATATTTTGTTGTACTACTTTTTTTATCGCAATGGTTCATGTAAAGGACGTTTTGTCTCTCCAATATACGACTCATCGCACTCGCAAGGTACCTGGTAGATGTTCACTCTTTCTCCTGGTTTGATGATACAGGTTTTGTTTTTGTTAGGATACTTCTTAGAGTTGTCCCAGATATAAAAACTGTTTTATATTGCCTAGCTATATAAAACAATAAACTATATAAAAAATTTTTATATTGCCTAGCTATTCGCCTGATATTCACCAATGTTCCTTTCACACATGGAATCGCCAGGAGAGAGCATCCTCCTCAGGCTGGCGCATCAATAAGTCGGACTTGCAATTGGATATAATATTGTCTATGGATTTTGCAGAGTAACCATTCTGAACCAAATCGATTTTAATATTACTTAGTTCAGAATTCAGAGATTCTTGGTCACTGCATATAGTGATTGCTCAATGACATAATATTTTAACTATACCTTTTTTGGTTGCTTTAGGATGTTTCGACTGAGAATTTAAATGTTTTGTCCCGTATGTGTGGGTTTTCTATATATAGGGCATATTCGGCAATAGTGCGTCAGGCATCTGTAGCTCCTAGAATAAAAAACTTAAGAATTTTGTTTAAATGCAGATCTAAAGTATGTTCTAGGATGTATTCCAGGAAAATATTTTAACTTCTATAGGGTGGTTCAAAAAAGTATGAGTGGATCGGAATGATTTTTTTTAAATGGAACACCCTGTATATTATTGAACTTTTAGCTTCCTTTCAGATCACTTTACATAATCCTAAAATATGAGTAAATATATTGCGATAGTTTCAGAGATATTAATAAGTAAATAAAAATATATATTTTGTAGCCTTTCTTAAAAAAAAATATTAAAAATACAAGAACTGCTCTGAAATCAAGACTATATTAGGTATTTACTTTAGATGGTCTGTACTTACTTTGCTATAAATATGGTAATAGTATATCATACAAGACGTTCAAAATTTTACACCAAACTTTCTAAAATTGAATCTTAATTTTTATGTATTGTATCTTAATTTTTCATTAGATGGAGTATTAAAAAATGAATATTTTTTTTTATTTAGAGTATTTTTAACGGTTTCGCAGATATTAGCGGTTTTATATTTCATATGGCATTTTCCATAGAAAATTTTTATCAAAGCCTCCCAATGATTTTTCTCCCGTATTTTACCGTTTAAAAAGCCATATAAAATAATACTGTGTGTATCTGCGAAACCATTAAAAATTTTGAAATACTTTAAATACAAAAAATGTTCATTTTTTAATTCTCCATCTAATAAAAAAATAATATACAGGGTGTTCCATTTAAAGAAAAAAAAGAAACATTATTTTATATTTTAGAAAGTTTGGCGTAGAATTTTGAACATCCTGTATGATATAAGATTACGATATTATTATTATTATAGGTAAGTTAAGGATAGACCATCTAAAGTAAATACCTGATATAGTTTTGATTTCAGGACAGGTTCTTGTATTTTTAATACTTTTTTTTAATGAAGGTTGAAAAATACATTTTTTTATTTATTTATTAATATCTCTGAAACTATCGAAATATATTTATTCATATATGAGGATTATGTAAAGCGATCTGAAAGGAAGCCAAAAATGTAATAATATACAGGTGTTTAATTTAAAAAAAATATCCCGATCCACTCACGCTTTTTTGGGCCACCCTGTAGAAGTTAAAATATTTCCCTGAAATACATTCTTTTATTCTAGGAGCTACAGATGCCCGACGCACTATTGCCGGACCCTGTACAACAGTCGATGATATGGATCCGTTAGCACCAAATCCGAAGCTCTTTTAGTTTTAATTCAATTTTTGTTGTTTCAGTTTTTCATTTTCTATTTAGAAACATTCATTTTCAATGTTCATGATAACTATAATTAAATTTGGAATACCTTGTAGGTGGTGTCGGCTACTTCACTCATGGATGTGTTAGCCAATGGAACTGTCCCGCGAATGGTTGGGGTGCTCAGTATGGTGGTATTACTTCAGAGTCTGAATGCAATGAATTGCCTGAAGTATTACAGCCAGGATGTCATTTCCGTTTCAACTGGTTCGAAAACGCCGACAATCCTAAAGTGACCTTTGAACAAGTCGTTTGCCCATCAGAATTGACTAGTATCACCGGATGCGTTGTATAAATTGTATGAATGCAATGTAATATAGAGGTTTGACTAAATATATGAATTTGACGTTCTCCACAAAATATCCAATTTTTTCGAATTAATTTACTTAGTAAACTTCAGGGGCACCGGCCTCCATATATTCTTTTACAACACCCATTCTCTGCAACACCCATAAACCTCGTGGGTAGGTTCTCATCCGATATGGGTAAATGTAACAAATTTCCAGATAGTTACATTTGTTGCATTTATTACATTTTTTTACATATGTAACATGCATGACAAAATTAGGAAAATAGTAAATACCATTTCAGTTTATGTCATTTGTGCATTTCTATTGAATTCTTTGAGTATTTCCTTATATTGAAAATTTAAGTCAAAATGTTGCAAACGGCTACTTTTATATCGGTGGCGCGGCGCGGCGGGGGGAATAAGCTTTCGCTTCTGTACTTGGCTAAAAATATGATACCCACATATACCTGATAATATATGATTTGGTAAGATATGAGTATCCTGTGAGGGTTCTGACAACTTTATAAAAAGATCCGCGTTCAAGAGAATATATGTTTTGATACAGATGAAGAAGTGGCATATGTGATCTAAGTTTATTAGTTCCCTCGAGGATGCCCCATTCATTTTGAAGTATACTGAAGAACACTTTTTTGTGGAAATTTCTGAAATCGACAACGGATGGAGTTCCTTCAATATTAAGTAAGAGCGTTGTCTCGTTAGCCAGTTTGTCTGCTCGGTCGTTACTAGCAATGTCAGAGTGTCCAGGAATCCACATAAAGTTAACATTTTAGTTTCTTTCAGTAAGTTTATATACTAGTTTATATACTAGATCTCGAATGCTGCAGGTTAGAGAGCTTTTGGAGTTTAAAGAAGCAATACTGTTAAGGGAACTAAGTGAATCAGATAGTATTAATGCTTCAATCGGTTTATGCTTCAAACTGAATTTGGATAAGAGCCTGATATGTAGCTGTGAGTTCGGCTGTTAAAATGCCAAAGAAATTAGGTAATCTGATTTTTTTATTAGCAACCGGGCTGTAAAAAGCACAGCCAACACCTTGGTCAGATTTCCCCTCCGAAATGCACCTTATGCAATAATTTAATGTCAATGAGACACATTCTCTTTATTCTGCTGCTTTTTGATTCTTTAATGCTGTTAGCTATGAGAATATTTTCGCGCCTTTTAACATTTCGAAGATTAATAAAGTTATGGAATTTTTAGACAGCATCAACATGACGAAAAAACTTTAATTTCTGATAATTTAAAATAACCTTATATTAACTAAAGCTTACTATTGAGCGCTAAAAAACCCTCGCTGTTGACGCGTCTATAAACCAATACCTCTCTCTCTCTCTCTCTCACACACACATATACCTTACACTGCATACCAAAGGGCGCCACTTATATCAAAAAGATGTTGATACTTTATAAAGGGTAGTACAAACTGAAATTAGAAAATTTGTTCAAGGATATTAATTGAATGGAAATTAAAATTAGTACAGCTATTAAATATTTTTAGAAACTGGATCAACCATAGACTTAAAATAAAATATAGACTACACTATTTACATCTCAACGCGGACAAACAACCTTTTTTGTACACATGTTTACTTCTGGGTACAGTCGACCGAGCCTTCCTCATCCAGCCTATGTGGTCACGTCTTTAATATTATCAATATTTTTTTTCTTGTTATACACATATATTGAGATATTAATACTACAGTTTAATAAAGTAGGTTTTAATATTCCATAGATGTATTAAATAGTCCTTATACTACTAAATTATAAGTCGGATACTGTTTAATAAGGATAAGTTCTTTACAATATGACAACACCGATTAGAGGCGAGGGAGCCTATTCATTCATTTATTACCATAGACTTAAAATAAAATATAGACTACACTATTTACATCTCAACGCGGACAAACAACCTTTTTTGTACACATGTTTACTTCTGGGTACAGTCGACCGAGCCTTCCTCATCCAGCCTATGTTGTCACGTCTTTAATATTATCAATATTTTTTTTCTTGTTATACACATATATTGAGATATTAATACTACAGTTTAATAAAGTAGGTTTTAATATTCCATAGATGTATTAAATAGTTCTTATACTACTAAATTATAAGTCGGATACTGTTTAATAAGGATAAGTTCTTTACAATATGACAACACCGATTAGAGGCGAGGGAGCCTATTCATTCATATATTACCTTGTAGTACGTGTCGCACGTGTGCGGTAAAGCTTTGTTGCCGCTATTTCCCCGGCTGTATTAACGCATTTTCTTAGCTTGTAGTCCTTAAGTGTTTATTTTATTGACTTTTTCTGTTAAAAAACTATAAAATATGGTTCGCCAGTGCCAAATTTGCAAGAAATTTGACTTAAATAATCCATTTAAGTCTTGAAACGACTTTTGACCGGTAGGCAACTCTCAATTTACCCATTGGAAGTCAGTGGCGTTGTTGTAGAAAGGCGCTTATTTAGATAATATTTTAGTAAAATGTAAAATTGAATTTTTTCTTTTACATTACATTATTTACTTACTTACATTGTAACAAATCATAATTATAACCCTGTTAATAATTAATAATGTTTTTATTAAAAATATATTCCGGTTTATTCTAAAATTATCTTCAGAATCTAAAATAACATACAAGAATTTTAAAATGATATTACATTATTAAACAATATTTTTTAATATACCGGGTCGTCTCAAAAGTGGCTCAACCCTATAACTTTTTTTATTTTTTCAGATAAAAAAAAAAGTTTGTATGTTAATAGGTATATGACATAAATTAGGATTTATTGACGTATTCAATTGTTTTTGGTCTCTTCCTGTTTCACCGAAATGATTACATCTTTTGATTTTTAAAGGCACCCTCGGTATATTGCTACTTTATTTGATAAAAAATGACACTCTGAATAGAATGACATATCATATGTCAACTTTTGACATTGTCGCTTAAAAACATATCCTATTTTAAATTTCAATCCAGTTTTTTTCAATCCACTAAGTTTTAATCAAGGAGCCTTGGAAAAATAGTTTTGATCGTCTAATAGGTTTCGTGTCTTGTCTAGGCCGGTTAAAAGATGTACAAATCGTATTTTTAATCATACATATGTCAATTTTTTCAAATGGAACAAGGGTGACTCATTAGCATATTTGAAAAAAGCATATTTTTATGAATATATTGATACCACACACTTGGTATTTCGAGTCAAATTGTCGTTATGAACCGCGTGTTACAATTACAATTAAACCATATGCGAAAATGTCAAAAGTTGACATATGATATGTCATTCTATTCAGAGTGTCATTTTCTATCGAATAAAGTAGAAATATACCGAGGGTGCCGTTTAAAAATTAAAAGTTATAGTCATTTCCGGTGAAACAGGAAGTGACCAAAACAATTGAATGCGTCAATCAATCCTAATTTATTTCATATACTAACATACTAAATCTTGTTTTTTTATTTGAAAATATAAAAAAATTATGGGGGATGAGCCACTTTTGAGACGCACCCGGTATAATAAAGACAGTACCGAGTTAAATAAATGTAGTTTTTATTTTATCCACTTCCTATCACCTTCCTTGCTTTAATGGAACAGATTTATGTTTTCTCTAATTTACATAATAAGACATCACTTAACCAGAAAAAAAATTACAACAATCATATTTTTTTTTCTCTCCCTGTCGCCGATTCTATTATATCTGTGGAATAGATCCTGTTTTGATTAATATTAGGGGTAGTAAATGTTTGACTAAAATTAATAATTTATTATTAATTTCAAAAATTACCTAATTTCGATTATAAAATTTCTTCTATAACGTGTATTTTATTATTTTTATCCTTTTTGGACTCTAAATTGTTTTTTCTAAACTTTTATTTAAAAAACCTGTCCTAAATCTCAATAAAATATAAAAAAGTTTAAATACGATATATTTTTAATTTAATTATTATAGCTTCATTAAAATAAAAAAAATACCCGGCTATGATACGGAGAGTTCAGGTTACTTGAGAAACGAAAGACAGTGTTGTGTTTTTTCGGCAGAGTCGTCAGGGAACGACCGTTATGACAGAGACAACCTATCTATCACTCGTGTCGCACTCGTTATAACCTAAAACAATAACACAACAATAACAAGACAGTGTCTGACCGCATGTTCCAGCTATTTGTGAATGAGATGCTCAGTCTATATTTTATTTTAAGTCTATGTTTATTACCTTGTAGTACGTGTCGCACGTGTGCGGTAAAGCTTTGTTGCCGCTATCTCCCCGGCTGTATTAACGCATTTTCTTAGCTTGTAGTCCTTAAGTGTTTATTTTATTGACTTTTTCTGTTCAAAAACTATAAAATATGGTTCGCCAGTGCCAAATTTGCAAGAAATTTGACTTAAATAATCCATTTAAGTCTTGAAACGACTTTTGACCGGTAAGCAACTCTCAATTTACCCATTGGCAGTCAGTGGCGTTGTTGTAGAAAGGCGCTTATTTAGATAATATTTTAATAAAATGTAAAATCTGAATTTTTTCTTTTACATTACATTATTTACTTACTTACATTGTAACAAAGTCATAATTATAACCCTGTTAATAATTAATAATGTTTTTATTAAAAATATATTCCGGTTTATTCTAAAATTATCTTCAGAATCTAAAATAACGCACAAGAATTTTAAAATGATATTACATTATGAAACAATATTTTTTAATATACCGGGTCGTCTCAAAAGTGGCTCAACCCTATAACTTTTTTTATTTTTTCAGATAAAAAAACAGATTTGTATGTTAGTAGGTATATGACATAAATTAGGATTTATTGACGTATTCAATTGTTTTTGGTCTCTTCTTGTTTCACCGAAATGATTACATCTTTTGATTTTTAAAGGCACCCTCGGTATATTTCTACTTTATTCGATAAAAAATGACACTCTGAATAGAATGACATATCATATGTCAACTTTTGACATTGTCGCTTAAAAACATATCCTATTTTAAATTTCAATCCAGTTTTTTTCAATCCACTAAGTTTTAATCAAGGAGCCTTGGAAAAATAGTTTTGATCGTCTAA